GACAGCACCAATCATAACCTTGTGCCCAGGACCTGATCCAAAAAGCTAACATATGTCTAACCTTCTCCTTTGCAAATACAGAAGTAGAGTTCTTACAGGTAAAAAAAAAAGTATCAAAGTAAGTAGAAGAGAAGGAAAGACAGATTCCATCTCAAATATGATGCATGAAATATAAGTAATGGGAAGATTAAAAGTAAGCATCTGGAATATGCAAGGAATTAATTATCTGCTTAAAAAGAGACCAGAATATCTAATATAGTTCTTTTACAAGGAACAACTCCCTTGAAGCAGAGCATATAACAGGCTGAAATGTGGTTCTCTCCTTCCATATTTCCACCAGCTACAATTTTAATCACCAAGAAACTCAATTTCCATCTAGGTGAAATAAAAATTGGATAAGGCAAAAAGGTGTGCCATGCTGCGAGTGCTGACAGATTCACAAGCTTTCACTGTAAGTAATATCCTTCTTTAGCAAGCTATTCTCAGCACTGCACCATCAAATATAATGCTAAAAACAACAAAGAACCTTAACGACCAAAACTAAAGCTGGCATAAGGTTTCAGGGCTGGAGGCCACTTCATCATTTGCATGGAGTGGTCAACGAAGTGGAAGAAATATATGTGAGAATATAAAGAGAAGTAAAAAAAAAATAGTTTTTATTAAGAGAAGTCAAGAGGTCAGGCATGAAAGCAGTTCCTCTGGCACAGCACTATGCAGAACAGCAATTATTACACTACAAAATCAAATGAACACAACATTCCATCTCTGAAACGTGATGTCTCAACAAGGCCCTGGGAGTGACCAGTTCATTACAGAAAGCAATGTTTGCTTAAGCTATTGATCAAGTGATAACTATTAGCCACTAGGGGCTGCTAATCAAAACTGGGTCACACCAGTGCCAATTGGTTGCAGCTAAAGGATCACTTTGAGCCCTACATCTCCAGGGGGTCCAAGCCCTCAGCCATATTCCTGTTGCTCATCTACAAATTGCTGCTGATTTATAAATTTGTCTCCTCTGTTTACCCCAAGACAGCTGATAATGATGCTGTGAACTGCTGGAGCTGTCTCAGGATGACAAAGGGAAAAGCACAAAAATGTGAAGCTTCTACTTCACACGCTGCAACCCCAAAGTACAGAATAACTGCAGGAACAGCCTTTCTCTCTCTCTCTGCTTCCACAGCAGGCAGTCTCTCCATCAAGCGAGGATTGGAAGTCTTGAATTAGAGGACACAGATAAAGTACAAGCTACCATGGAAGGCAGGGTAGGTGGGCGGGCAACGAAGTTCACCTGACAGCAGAAACAAACAACAGTAGAGTCCCACTGAATTAAGAAAAAGACTCTCTGCTCTTGGAGTGGGCATTATATGCTCACTTGCTCCATACTGCAAGCAGGGATGGGCACAAGGTAGATTTGAATTTAGTACTTCTAGATCTCTGAATGCACTGAAATAAGAGCTGCAAAAAGGTTTCTGATTCTCTGTAGTTGAGTAACAAATATGCTTGCAAGTCCCCTCCAAAAAGTTCTACAAATTGTACATGCAAAGTAGAGACAAGATGTTTTCCTTGACTATATCTAGGCCACATTCCCAATTGGTAGTATAGAGTAGGAAATTTCAGAGCACAGAGCTCTAAGCTGGAGCCCTCCTTCACCAACTCCCACATGGCCACATTTTTGGATACCAATACACTACTAAAATCACAGCACTCTCAGAACACATTTTTCCACAGTACGCAACTAGTCTCTGTGATTCAGTGTCATGCTGGAGCAAAACAACATTTCTAAATGTAAACAAATTGTATTTATTTATTAGATCTATTCCTTGCCCTTCACCACGACGTCCCAGAGCAGGTTACAAGTAAAAAAGACAAATTTAAAACAGATAAAAATCACTACAACTTTAACACATATAAAACCATTCCAAAATACGACAGAACAATACAAATTCATCAAAGCAGATGGGTCACATAACATTTAAATTCCTTAACTGCCAGAGGCCAAGGTAAAGAGGTTGGCTGATGACTACCAGGTAACTATCCAGAAGAAAGTAACCACACTGTCACAACCATCACATACTGTATTGGCATATTCCGAAGTTTATTTAAACTTGTGTACTGATGTCCATGCCTTGTACAAAATTTGATGCAAGATGGGCAATCCAAGTCCCATCTTGTCACCCTGACCCTGAACTATGAGTTAATATACATGTAGAAATAATTTTCACACAAGAAATTCTTGTAGGAGGAAGGCACCTGATTCTATGCTCTCCTTACTCCAACAAGAAAGAAGCTTTACCTACATAAAGCTGTCAACTCCTGTATCTGTTCAGCAGAGAATTTTTTTCATGTCGGAATGGGGATGTCATTTGTTCAGGGATCACTATATGTAGAGAGCTCTAGATGTGTGAAGATATCTAACCCAATATTTTCTTGAAGCTGGAGAGATGGGGTGGGGGAGGATGTGTGTGAAAGATAGAAGTTCTTGAATCATACACATGTTGCAACTTCTGAAAGTTTCTGTGAAGATTGAAATGAAGCCTTAGTGCACCTATTTTACTTATAATATTTTCTGCAAGCTACTAGGTTCAGTAGGTGATAGCCAACAATAGTCATACTCAGGGAAAACTCACCATTATCACCCAGTACAGCTGGAGGAACAAAATACTTGCTTAGGGTAATTTTTAAAAATTAGAATGATGAAGGAATGTCTCATGTAAGCCTTACATTTGGACAAACAAGGGACATTTCTAGAGAAATTCATTCATTTGCATCCTAAAAGAAGCTCTGAGTAACATACACATCCCATTTTAGCCTCAAAACAATCCTGTGAAGTAGGTTGTCCCCAAAGTGTGCGACTGGGCAAATCTTATTGTAACAGAACCAGTTTTGTTGCTGATGCAGGGATTTGAATCCAGGTCTCCACAGCCCAATTCTTTAACCACACTGCCTGTCCATGAGGCATGACTGCAAAGTGAGGTGTCCATCTGAATTTATATTTTCCTTTTCAATTGTGTGCCAAAGGGTTCAAAAATACATATGAATGAAGGAGCACAATTTCTCATGTTTTACAACTTAAGAAAATGCATACAGATGATTGCTTAGTTCTTGCCATTATGAAATGTATTTTAAATGTAATTGGCATATATTTTCTGCCTAAGCATTTCTAATACATGTCATCCAAGTTTACTTTAAAACCTGCAAGCACAGAGAATCTGCAATTATAGGCAGCTTGCTCCAGTGCTGAATGCTTAACAACTCCCTCCTAACATTTAAACTTCCTGTAATTTAAACTGTTTCTGCCATGAAATAAGATATTTAACATTTTAATGTATTCATAACTGTACATATACTGGAAAAAACAAGTTAACACAGCAAAGTATTTTCCCACAGAATTATATGTTACATAAAATGGAACTTTTATGAAAATTATTGACATTCAGGATGCAGAAGTTTTGCAACACTCATTAGTTAAGTAGATATTTTTCCAGAGTTGAGATGTTTGAGCTTGCAAAACACTATTATTTGCTTGCAATGCCTAAGTTAGGACACACACAAGACTTTCTGGAATTGTGTAACTTGAAGTCAAAAACTCGGGTACAGGGAGAGAGAGAGAGAGAGAGAGAGAGAGAGAGAGAGAGAGAGAGGAAGATTATTGAACATTTCTTCACTCTGTTTCAGGTCTATGAAGGTCTATGGGGGGAAAGCACTTATTTTGCAGGATCTGCAATGGCTCTTTGATTTTTATTTTATTTATTTAAAGCATTTTTATGTCACTCTTTAACAACAAAAACAGCAGCAGCTCCCAAAGTGAATACATAAAATCAATAAAGAAACAAATGAGATGATTTCCTGTCCACAGGCTTACAGATTAAGAGAGACTGCACTACATGAGATTTTCCCTTCATTCTTGGCCCTCTGACAGACAAGCTATTTAGAAGGATTTCCCAGATTAGAAATGTCTGAAAACCATAGTTCTCACCCAGGCTTGGGCAACCTGTGGTTCTTCAGATGTGGGACTACATTTCCCATCATCGCTGATGGAACCAAAGCTAGCTAGAGCTCCCCAACATCTGGAGGGCCACAGGTTCCTCATTCAAAACATCGGTTCTCCTCCTTCCTAGAAATATGATTCTTGTCAAACTCTGTCAACTTCATTTGCCACAAGTATGTCTTGCTTGACATCAGCCTGAAGCATATCCAGTTGGGGAACATTACTTCGTCAATTTATAAAGAATGGCCTGTACAAAGATTAAGTTGTAAAGTCAACCATTCAACTGTTTTACCAGTGTACTTGGAAGATTTGAACAAGGATGCCACACCTCCCTCCCAGAAGCATGAAGATCAGGCTGCCATCTTTTAGCTGCTCTATGCACTGTGAAAGGATAGGACAGTATGACCTTGGAAGGGGAAAAGAGATATGCCTTTATTGGGAAACAGCTGTTGAAAGTGACCAGGCACAGACAGTCCTTTCTGTTTCATCACCTCAGGTTTCCTATGTGAGCTCTCATTGCAGCTGCTACTTCTCTGGCAGAGTTGGTGGGTGCTGAAGGCACCCGAGATGGCACTGGAGTTCTGCAGGCACCCTCCACCCCACCCCCAAAGTGGGAGGAGCAGCAAGAACCCACTGGTACCCTGCCCCCTTCTCTGGCAGAGAAAGAGCCCTATTTCCACCAGTGATCCATACTTGCACTCAGCACACCAAATCTTAAACCAGGTGATGCCCAACTGTAGGCATGTTTATTATGAAAAATATTCCAACGAGTTCAATGAGATTAATTCCAAGTAAATGTGCTTAAGATTGCATCTTCTGCCTCTCCATTAGTCTACTGCCTATCACCGGCATCGCTTTTCTCCTGGTCTGCTCCTGGGAGCTCACCTTTGCTCAGTACAAAGTACTGGATAACGGAGGCAAAACACCAATTCCTGGCGGATGTGAAGGGGGCCAAGTGAGGGCAGCGGCTTCAGAACGCAGCACTGAGCTTGCTCGTGTTTCCCGAGCATGCTCAGTCGCAAGGACGTTGCAAACCCTGAAGCAGCCGCAGGTTTCGAGTCTCTTAGCAAGGCCGGAACTGCTTGTTCCCGGAGCCCTTCCCTTGCGCAGCTGGGTGACCCCCTTCCCCTCCCCCAGCCTGGGCGGCACCCGGCCTAGCCCTATCCCGAATAGGGGGTGGGTTGGTGGGAGAGAGGTCGGCGCTTGCCCTTCCAGCCCACCCCTCTTACCCAAATGTATATAGGGAGCTGAGAGGGCGCCGCTTCTCCTGACATCCTGGTGCAACTGAGGTCGGATCCTCCCGCTGCTGCTGCAAAGATGGCTTTGCTAAGCCCCCGCCCGCCCGACTTGCAGCGCTTGCTGGAGAAGGACCCCTACCTGACTCCCTTTGAGCAGGACTTCGAGCGCAGGTAACCGAGACCAGCTGGTGCACCTGGACGCGCTGCTTCGGGGCTCCTCTCACACCCGCCCATCTCCCCTCCGGGCCCACCCCTCCAAAAACAGCTGCTCCAGACACTAAAAAGCTGCACCGTCACGCTTATTTGCATCTCGGTCCTGCTTGCTTCCTCCGGAGTAGGTCCCTATCTGCGGAGCAGCACCGTGCATGCCTTGCTAAAGTCCCGCTAGCTTCTCTTGCCCGCTGGGCTCACTTGGCTTCACTACCTTCTCCTCCTCTACCTGCTGCCTTTACAGCTGCCTGTGCGTTTTCACTCCGGAGTCCAGGAGGGACTTACTCCCGAGTGCGCCTGTGCGTTTTCACTCCGGAGTCCAGGAGGGACTTACTCCCGAGTAAAGGCAGGGCTGCCGCAGCTTTGGTGCCCAGCCGCAATGAGGAAGGAAAGCGAGCCCGGCTAGGACAGCTGAGCGGCTGCAGCCCCTCCACCACCCGCCCCGCGCTCCTCTCCGTTGCAACATGAGCCCCTGCCTTTCACGTGCGCATCCCGGCGTCCGCGGTGCGTGTGCGTCGCGTGCTTCCTCGCTGGCGGGGAGCGCGCGAGCCTGATTGGCGAGCCTTCATCTCCACGGGAAGCGCCCGTGAAGCCACCCGGCTGCCCTCACTTGGGATTGGAAGTTGGCTCTTGCCCTTAGCTGGTGGAGAGGGAGGGACTTTCCCCCTTAACGCTGCAAGAGCTTTTATTGTCTGCCGGCCGGGTAAAAGAGCCGTGAGCTTTTCACTATGTAAAAAAAGAATCAGCAACGAAAGGTGTGTGGAGAGTCCTCGGCTAAATAATCCGTGAGCAATGCCCAAGGCTGGGATCCTAAATACGTTTATAAAGGGATCAAGCCCCATTGAATACAGTGGGGCTTCTAAGTAAACATGCGTAGGACTGGGCTTTGAGAGGGAGAGATGAAAACTGTTGCTACTAACAATTTGCAGCCTGACATGTGTACTCAGATGCAAGCTCCATTGAGTTTGCACCCTTTGACTGGGCTCCTAAGATTAGTTCACCTTCCCACCCTTCTATAATACCCCCCCCCCCAATAAACCAATAATTTAGGGGACAAGGGTTCTGTAGAAAGTGTGATCAGAAACTTTTATGAACTTACTTAATTTTTAACTTTTTATTTTCGATTTCTGTAGCAGTTGTTTGAGGCAGCCTTCAATGTTTACAGTCAACAATTTTACACATAGGTATCTTAGACTGTGGGACTGTGAGTTGCTAAAACCCACCCAAGAGCAGTGGTCAGAATAGGATTTAAACATTGGCCTTCCACATTCGTGGCAAATTCTCTGTTCACTGAAGCATATTGCTTGCTGGAGCATGGAGTAGCAAAAGGGATCATAAACTGGGCAGTGGTCACTGCAGCCTGGTGTTGTGGATAATGTTGGATTTGGAAGAGACAGAGCTTGGTTAAAATCCCTGCTCAGCCTTGAAGCTTTACTGGGTTGCCCTGAGTGAGTCAGTCATTCTGTCTCTGCTTAACCTACTTCACAAAGCTGTTGTAAGGTAAAAGTTGTGTGTGTGTGTGTGTGTGTGTGTGTGTGTGCGCCTGTGCCTGCTGCTCTAAGAAGTGATTGATAAATCTATGTGTAAATGCCAGCGGCTAATATTTTTGTCAGACTAGTGGGATAAAGTAATGGAGCCCACAGTGAGGTTATGCAGATTGAAAGGTTAGACAATAGTATGATTTATTCTGCATGAGTGGGGACATGGATAAGAACAGAATTGATTCCCAGTGTCAGAGAGCAGATTTAGACTTCACCTCAATAGTGTCCTTGAGGGCTCCTTTACTTTTCTCTGCATAAGTTGTGAAGGACAAGTGCTGCTATTTGAAATATTGGAGCGGGGATTTTTGGCTTCTGTCAGCTTTCCCACTGCACTGGGGACTGTTATGGCAGCCAGATATCCCCCTTCTAATATTACAAACATCAGCAGGGAAATCCCCTGCTGCTGCTGCTACCCCCCCCCCATTGCAATACTTGTAGGGATTTCATAGTGGCTTCTAAGCGTATGCTTGGGTACGGTATGTTTGGTACATCATGGATTCCTCCAGTCCACTTGATTTGTTTCCAGAGAGATTATATGTGCCAAAGCAAGTGCTATCCCACCCTTTCCAGTGGGATTTCCCCATCACTTTCCTCACTGCAAAAAGTCTGATCTTTGGGGGAAGTGGCTTTGTTATGCAAGATCTTCCAGTCATCTATAATGGCACTTAACCTGGATTTGCTGGGATGTGACTGAGTTCCACTTGAAAATAGCAACAGTCTGAAACTGTCCATCTGTTTATTGATGAAGTTTTTTAGTTTTGCTAGTACAGAATAATTGTCTCTTCACCAAGAAGAGTTAAAATGAGGAGGGAAGAAGACTGTACTTTTAAAGAAGAGCATCTTCCAGAGGAGTAGTTGGTTGCACCTAAAATAACAAAGTCTTGTAGTACAGTGGTACCTCGGGTTACATACGCTTCAGGTTACAGACTCCACTAACCCAGAAATAGTACCTTGGGTTAAGAACTTGCTTCAAGATGAGAACAGAAATCGTGCTCCAGTGGCGTGGCAGCAGCAGGAGGCCCCATTAGCTAAAGTGGTTCTTCAGGTTAAGAACAGTTTCAGGTTAAGAACGGACCTCCGGAACCCGAGGTACCACTGTGTCTTAATTGGCCTAGTTTGCATGTCATGGACTCATGGTAACCTATGACTATGCAAATGTATGGGCTCCTGGACCGGAGCTAACACCCACTTTGCTGTTGCTTGGCCCTTTTATTACAAGTTTGGCTTAGTGTGGTATCTGAGTGCAGGACCATGATTAGATTAGGGTCTCTCCTCCTTGACCACAATCTAGCAACAGAACAAAGCCTTGACTTAGCTGCTGTGTTGTGTCACAGGCCTGAGATGAAATGGCAGGGCAGTGCAGCAGCTATGCCAGGGTCTGGAGGAGAAAATCCTGTTTAAATTCATCATGAGCCAGCCTGTTCACATCATCCAGGGAAGCCATAGTTTGGCTTTATTTTGATGAACGAACCAGGCTGAAGACCAACAAGTTCATGAGGGTATAAGCTTTTGTGGATTAGAGTCCACTTCATCAGATACAATTTCCAGGGGAAGTAGCTGCATTGGTCTCCTGCAGTGAAAACAACAATCAGCCTCGTGGCACTGCCAAGAGTAACAAATTTACTACAGTCTGCTTCATCAGATGCATGAAGTGTTATCCTGAGTATCGTAACTACTTTCCAGCTGTTATCTTATATGATAACAGCACCTGAGAGTACTTGCTCTCCTGCCTTGGTGTGGTATATTTTTCAGGCACAATTGGTTATAATTTTCTACTATTAACTGCCATAGGAGCCTTTTACAAGCAGATTACAAAACTTTCTTTTACTGCTTTGCCAGGAAAAAAGGCGATGACATGTTTTCAAAGCAGCGTTAAAAAGCACTAGTGGCTGAACCTTGTGATAGTACATTAAACTGAAAATGTCCTGTTATGTTTAGTTTTAAGATTTTTATATGTGGCTTCATTCACCAATTAGAATGGAACTTCCCAAATCCAGTAATTAACTGAGCATAAACCCTCCTCTGGGTTTGTATAGTAACAATCAAAGTTGACATTTAATGTCAATAATTAAAAGAACATGGATGTTTACATTGCATAGGTTTAAAACCATTGGTTTTCAGTGCACCAATCAATGGGTGAACTTGGTGGTACGACAAAGACTATAAAAGTAAAACAACTTAACATGAAGTTGACACAGACCCAAATAAAATTATATACAACAGAGAATCATAGATTAGTAGAGTTGGAAGGGACCACAAGGACCATCTAATCCACCCCCTACAAAGCAGGAATCTATCGCCCAACATGGGGCTACAACTCATGATCCTGAGTCTCATGCTCTACTGATCCTGCTATCCCATATGGATCATAAACTGAGCATTCTGAGTCTTGCTGGCAAATCACAGCATTCCCCTTTAAAAAATGGCCCTATTTTAGCACACACTAAAATCAATAAAATTTATGCAGATTTGAATAAATGCATACACACACACCCACCCACCCACCCACACACACACAAATATTCCTGGCAACACAGAGCATTCTCCTTTATTTATTTTTTACCCTGTTATCAATTACTGCAGATGGTAAATGTGTGAACCTTATTTATTTATTTATTTATTTATTTCTACATAAAGAAACATGGGTATAAAATGTAAACAATGGGAGCAAGAGGTCATGCAATGCAGGAGGTTTAGTCTTTGACATTTTTGTGCACAGCTATCTGTTGTTTTGTTATGTTAGACATTTTGTTGGGTAGTATTTGTTACAAAATTTGAGATTCAAAGACATTTAGAATAACCAGGAAATTTTAAACTTCTATCCAGAGAAGCGACTTTCACTTCTATCCCTGTATTTCATCAGCCCCTTCCCCCGAACAATTGCAAATCGATTTAGAATTACCTCTTTCCTTGCATAAGTCAATTATTCTTAATGAAAATACCTGCTTATTTAAAATATGTCTGTGTAAACAATAATTAACAGAATAAACACACACCCCCACCAGCAACACAAACAGCCTACATGTACCTTTCCCAGCACAGTAACAAGCCTTCCATTCAAAAAACGATCCCTGAATCTGATGCCTTCCATCTCTCCCCCAAGTCCCTCCTGTTTGTCATGGTCTCTATGGCCTTAGTAGCAATTGGTTGACAATCTCCGTCTCTGGTTTAAACTGGTGAATGTGAGTAGAAATGAGGCCTTACTGCTTGTACTGAGGGCTTTGGGCAGTGTTTTGGTGTGCACAAATGTAATGCCTGTCCTCTTTAAAGCTGCATTAATGCAAACTGTTCAGTTAACAAATGCCTGAATGAGCTATCACATTCTCTCCTGTTGGGTAAATGACTTTTGTCATTAGCTTAACTGTTTCATTGATCTCAATATGTGGAAGTAGGTGCAATTAAAATCATGTGCATTTTTGA